ATGATTTCTGCATTTGGTGATGAAGCCCCATCCAAAACCACAATTTATCGCTGGTTTGCTGAATTTCAACGTGGACGTGTCAAGGTCAGTGATGATCCCCGTCAAGGTCGTCAAAAAACTGCAGTCACCCAAGAAAACGTTGATGCTGTGCGTAAGCTGATTGAGGAAGATCGACATGTGACATACCGCGAAATTCAGGAAACTTTAGACATTGGCATGAGTCAAAAGCAAATAATCTTGCATGAACAATTAGGTGTAAAAAAGTTGTTTTCCTGATGGATACCGCATTCGCTCTGTGAAGAGCAAAAAGCGGCTCGCGTTACTTGGTGCGTCAGAACTCTCGAAAGATTCCACGCAGAATCCTCAAATGCTGTATACAACATCGTATCAGGTGACGAATCTTTGATATACGCGTACGAACCCGAAACAAAAAACCAGTCACGAGTTTGGGTGTTCGAAAATGAGTTAAAGCCAACAAAAATTGTTCTTTCACGGAGTGTTGCAAAAAAATGGTGGCCACGTTTGTCTCCAAAACCGGCCATGTTACGACTATTCCTCTTGAGGGACAAAGAACGGTTAATGCAGAATGGTATGCTAGCATTTGTTTGCCACAGGTCGTTTCTGAACTCCGTAAAGAGAACTGCAACCGCCGCATCATCCTCCATCACGACAATGCGAGTTCTCACACCGCACACAGAACAATAGAGTTTTTAGAGCAAGAAAACATAGAATTATTAGACCATCCGCCGTATAGCCCCGACCTAAACCCTAATGATTTCTATACTTTCCCTAAAATAAAGAATAAATTGCGTGGACAGAGATTTTCATCATCTGAAGAAGCTGTGGACGCCTACAACGCCATTTTAGAGACCCCAAATTCCGAATGGAATGGTTGCTTCAATGATTGGTTCCATAGTATGGAAAAATGTGTCAAATTTCGCGGAGAATACTTCGAAAAGCAATAAATACATTTTTATATAGTAATGTTGTGTCACTTCCTTGATTCCCGAAATTTTCAGTGCCGCCCTCGTACATGCTAAACAATAATTGTATTCCAAATTTGAGTTTCTATGTCTGCTAGAAGTGCCTTAGAGTTTTGATGATCGGTCAGTGAGTGACAAAATTAAGAAACTTTGACTAGTTATAATTCTTAAACTACTGATTCAAATTTAATGAAATTTGAAATATACTGAGTTTATACAATGCCTACTTGGTTACTGCAAAGGCTTCTAGTTTTATCCACAACGAAGTTATATATTTCGAAAATGGCCTGAACTGCTTCGAGAAAGGGATGGTACGGCCGTGCCGCTTTTTCGATCGACTTGGCGGGGGCACTGTCGTACCCCCAGATCACCAATTATTGGTACTACAGAGAGGACTTTATTATATTTAATATTAAAAAAATATTTTAAATGTAAACTTTAATCCAATGCCTACCTAAAATTAGGTTCTTAATTACAACTAAATGAAGAACATTGCGTAAGTATCTATATTATGCCTCTACCTGCAAACAAATATAAATAAACCTAAACTCAACCAACGAGAGTTCTTGAACCTTTCAGTAATAGGTGTGGTCGTGCTCAAAATCAGATGGGTTTTCTATCAAGAAAATCTCAGTAGCAACCCGGAGTATTTTAACCCTGTGCTTCAGAAAGTACGTAGAAAGCCGTTGGTTCTGAGTGTGATCTTTCTATATTCGTGTCAGTTTACCGGCCCATTGGATTATGAGTGTGAGGGAATAAAAAATGCACATGTGCTTGCGCACATATTCGTGAACCTTAATCCTGCCCGGTGCCATTAAAGAATATGCCATGAAAGAACAATACAGTAAAATAAATTTGAGTAATTTTGGTGCAACCTCTGAAATGTATGGGAATTAATCCAATAGGTTTGTGAGGCTCGAGACAAAATTACTCAAATTTGCCTTAAATAAACAAAAAGCTTCAAAGTTACATAATACAAGGTTTGAAATTCCCGCTAAAAAGTATTATATGGGCGCCCACCGTGGTGCTATTCGTGTACACTCATAAACACGTGTTTCCTCTGTTTTAGTATGAAGTTGGCGTTCTTTTCTCGGTAGAGAGTAACTTAAGTAAGAGTCCGATTTGAAAAATACTTTTTGTATGTTATAACCAGATTTACGAGGAATAGTATAGGCTATCTAGCATTAAGCTACACTTTTCAACTTGTTTTTTAAAGGATCGGGTGACAAACGTGCACACAGTCCACCTGATCGTAAGTAGTTGCTGTGACCCATAGACATCTACATTTATCCTGAATAAAGAATCAAAATGCAGATGCGTCGTCACCCGTGAGGAATAAGATGGAATGCCTCTTTTCCAGTAAAAAGCAGTGTTAAGGTGCTATTTAACGCTGGTATTCTGACAGAGCGTGGTCCTTCCACGGTCGAGCCGACTCATTCGTGCTACAACTACATATACTACTAATATAGCTGCAGCATGGCTCTACCAGTACCACGTATAGACGCGTATATACGCTAGCCTTAAATATTAATTTTTGTTAAGCAAGTGAGAAGAAAAAGCGCTTCCGAAATTATTTATCCATGTGCGCTGGCGTTAGTGATACGTGAATACAATTTTCTACAAAAATATAGATCTCTACTCCATCTTAAAAAAGTCCGTAATACTAAATAAATATGCCTATTTCTTATTCATAAGTCACAACAAGGTATTTTGTGACCATAATTATTGAAAATTAAAAAGTGATTTATGAGCGTTATTATTAAGCATGGCGTATTAATCCTTAGGAACGCAAGTAAATTTATAATCAAAACAATTTCATGAAGATAAACTTTGCTCCCTATACCTTGTTATTTTGACGCATAGAGAGATAATGAAAACTTAAAATAATTCAACACTGATTTTAGATAAAAAATTGACAGTTATATAGAACGCTGAACTCCTAGTTACGTAATCCACAAGGAGTATGCAGTGACGTATGCACGTGTAAGGGTCGACTCTGAAGGACTTAAAGAATGCTTCGGTGGTTTGGACACAGAAAGATTGAAGGAGGAAGAATGCCAAACAAATTTATACTGCAGAAGTAAGTGGCGGAGTCGGCAACGGACGCCCTAGCGCAAGGTTACCAACCAACCTGGCAATTAGTTGAAGGTGGGCAAAGAAACAGTACCACATGAGTAAAGAAACCGACCAGAGGGGAAGCTACATACAAACGGCTCGCTACGAACACACCCATACATAGCGCAGAGATGTATGCGTGAGCTCTCACCGACAGGTTCACCGGCGCTCCGTCGGGGTACAAACCGGTTTGCGCCGGTTCAGTCAGAGTATCCATGAAAGGGCTGTTTGTTAGTCGTGCGCATTTAAATAAATAGACTAACAATATTTCGGAATTTTATACATCAATTAATTTATTAAGTTTTTTTGCAATTATTAAACAATTAGATTTAAGTATTTTAATTAAAATAATTAAGAATTAAGTTATTATAAATTTATATGGGTAAATAATAAGTGTTCTGTATAAGCAAAAATGCCTAATAGTTGTACGGTATGCATGAATAATTCTAGAGGAAATAAGAATATTTCCTTTTTTTTGTACCCGAGAGATCAAGGGAAGTACTTACCGTTTTACGTATTATATACAATAAAACTAGGTAATAACATTGATAAGTAAGTGAGAATGTGTTAGACAGGTACGTCGCCGAGTGATGAAGTCGGTTTCACCTACTTGAAACGTTAGTCAGTCTAATCTTGACAGTGCCGTAGATGGCAGGATATCCTACCCACCCACTGTAGTATAGAGGTAGGTTGCTTCCTTGGGAAGGATATAAGCTAATTTTTGCGAGTCGCGACCCCAGGAGTAAATACCACTGCATTATGGTTGGAATACAATCGCCAGACATTGGTGGGGGTGGTGGGATTGGTGTTGGTGGAAGTGGTGCTGGTGTTGGTCGATAGTTTTGCTGATGGTGTCAGTGGTGGTGGAGGTGGTAGTATCGTAGGTAGTTGTAGTAGGCAGTGGACCAACAGTGACTCCATCAACACCACCACCATTACTATAACCACCACCACCACCGCCACTGCCCACGACCACCATCACAGCCATTACTACCACTACCACCACTTACACCAAAACTCTTGATTTCGAACAATTGATAGATATGTTGTTACATTAATATAAGTTATAATTAATACACATGTTGTCTTATGCTATACAATATTTTTATTTTTTCCTTAAATTTTTCACATGCATCATGTGACAACCCTATCAGAATAGGTATACATTTTCGACGTTGTTAAGAAGCTTCCCCTCTGGTCCTTACTCTTTACTCTGTGATAGTACCCTCAACCGACGAGCATGTATATGGATGCGAAAAAATTAGAAAATTGTGTCAGGATCGTGCCGTATGGAAGTCCGTATTCCTTGCCTACCCACTGGGTGACAGGTGTGAGAACTTATGATTTATGATTATTTTAGGTTATGCATCTTATGGTCCTGGTTATCTACTAATTCTTGAAGTCTTGGAGTAGTTTTTATGTACGACTGAGGGTGACAAAGGGGCATTCCATTCGTTCATATGATGTGGATGTTGTAGCTTGTCACTCCTTATACGAAGCATAGCAGTATTTTTCTTTTTTTAGTTCTTCCGTTGATTTGTGTTGTAGCCATACATACCATAACCGACAATCCGACTCAAATGGAAAACTATTTCACTATTCACTACACTAATAACGTTCACGTAACTTTGTCGATGCAGCAAAAGTGCTGGAAACGTCGGAATTTCAAAATAAGATAAAACTAAACGCGTTGAAGGAATTGTCTAGATATGTAATAATTTGTTTTAATAATGTTGTCAATTTTTAATTAACGAACGCAATAAATGTCTCAAAGATTTATGGCCTGGCCTAATTATCACTTACAAGGATTACGAATTCGAAGAAGGAAGGGATAGATTGAATGATAAATACATTTTATATATAACCGTTTGTTGATAATATGTTTCAGTAATTTTTTTCAAAATGTTTGCGGTCACCAGGTGCCTCTTAATACTGTGCGCTGCTGTGGCAGGTAATAAATCTTTTTAACTATACGTATGTGTAATTTTATGCTACTTTATGTTAATACTTTTATCTTATATATTTATTTATATTTAAATTATCTATATAAAATTATTATAAGAAAATATATAGTAATATAATGTTGAACTATTTATAACACCATGAAGCAAAGTTATGTGTTACTACTTAAAACGAAGTCTAATTACGACGATATTACATTTTTAAGTGTTGGTGACTGCAGCACGAATCTATCGGCATAACCGGGTAAGGACCAGACTTGCACGGAATACTATAGTGCTACGTTGTTTCGTCTAGTGAGTGACGAAAATCGGAGAATGTTTTTACTTTTAACTTCTTCTAATTTATCTATTAGGTTTATTGTTAACCTATATTTTATACTTAGTAGAGCCACGTAGCGGCTATATTACGATTGTAGCACGAATGAGTCCGCTCGACCGGGGAAGCACCACGTTCTCACAGAATACTGGCATAAAAGCTTTCATCTTAGTCCTCAGGGATGACATCTGCATTTTGATTCTAAATCGAAGATAAGTGTAGATGTCTATGGGCTCCTTTGTCACACTTATACCATAAAAGAAACCACTCAAGGACATTTTAAGCAACCTAAAATGACATTTTAGGTGTCAAAACTTTAACACTGGTTATAATCACGTTACACAGTCAGAGATTTCGACGTAGCCTTACGTCTAGTAAGCTAATGAGGCACTAGGCTTGCCCTATACCTCCAAGGACTGACAACCGATAGGAAAGAAAGGTGCTCGAGCAGTTCGTACCGGTAACCGAAGTATAGGACGGCCCTCCAATAGATGGAGAGATGACATGCAGGAAGTCAATGGAAATAATGGGCTCAAGACCGTATTTAGTAGATTTTTTAAGGAAAACCAATCCATTGCTGAACGTAAATGATGATAATTATGTCATGTTTAACACTAACGTTAACTACCCGACTTCGGATAGTTAATATTATTGTATTTGTGAAGTGTCTACTTAGTATTTGCAATATTTTAGAAATTACGCGATCATACAAGTTACAAAAAAACCACTATGCCTTTAAGCTGTTTATCTTGTGGAAATAATAGATTTCTGTAATGGAATGAAAATGAATTCTTGGATAGATGACGAAATGTTGAGAATAGGTGTGAACAACCACTATTATATCACACCATAGCGGTAGCAATATTACTTCTGACTTTTGCCACCTATCGCATGCTGATAGCCTTAAGAGAAAGAAATGCTACCTTAGACTTAAAAAATCTTCCTAATAGTTTTTAATAATGAGATGTATCACAATGCAACTATTGCCTTTGATTCGACCTGTATGGATGGATTAAATGCGATAAAATGGAAATAACATAATATCGACGTTTATTTACGAAATGATAATTGATATCATGTAAGATTTAGTAGCCAAGGCTGAGATAATTTATAGAAATTCCAGTAGCTTATCGCTTAACACCTTATAATCTCACACAATGATTAAATCGACGAAGTTTATGCTATCGTGACTTATTCGTGCGAATAGGTAGGTATTCTTAATAACGCCTACAGGCTCTCATGAGTAAAAAAAAAGTCCTGTAGTAACTTCACCACCGAGTTGATTGTGATAAACTAGAATTAAAAATTGCGATTAAAATTTTTATTGAAGCTGAAGGGGATCAAACTAAACTTGAGTTCGATCACCACTGCTCACGTAATATGGATATTATCATCATCATCATTACATCCTTTGACGAGTCCCCTCCTGAACATAGGCGCCCCCCAAGGAATGCCACAATGCACGGTCATGTGCCAACTGCAACCTGAATCTATCGATTTCCTGCATCTCTTACTAGGTCGTCACTCCATCTAGTGGGGGTTTGGCCTTTTTTTACACGGGGAAATGCCTACGCATAGCTGCCTCGCGGGGGCAAAGACGAGTTATGTCGGACTCGCACCGACTAAAGCCTCATGGGGTTCCACATTCGCCACATATTGGCAGGGCCACGGGAACGCTTTCGCACACATACGCGGCTCCACCAGCGCCGGCCGCCCCATGGCAGCCCCTTCTCGGGGGAGAACCTCTCCTCCCCATTCTCCTTCTCAGACCCCCCCGAGTCCGATACGCAGGGGCCGTGGGTCCAGAAAAATCGACCGCTTAGTAGCATCCGCTTTCCCAACCCCAGCGGCGGATCTGGTCTCTGGCTCTGCCGCCAACCAAGTTTCGGCCGCGGAGGGTAGAGAGAGCAGTGCCTCGCAATACCAACACTTCTCTCCCCCCGCAGCCCCATCACCACCGCATCAACGTTACGGCTCGTTCCACCTCGGCTGCAGCGGTAGGGGGAGAGGATACCCCTCTCACCGCAGCCCACCGATACACATCCGAAGTTGGCTCACCAAACCCACTCTGAGTGGCCACCTCGGGCCGGCCCGACACCACGGGCCAGCCAAGGGGTTCCTCTTTGTTCACCGCGGGTGACCAAGCCACGGCTTCTAAGCCCTCTCGCCACGACAAGGCGGAAAACCCGTTCGGTGGGGAGTAGGGGATCGCCCTACACTTCGCTTACTGGTACGAGGCTGCCATTGGAGAACCTTTCTTCCCCATAGGTTCTATCTATATCGCCGGCCCATTGCCATTGCAGCTTAAAAAATATTTTTTTAATGTTTATGCGGTGTTCATATGCTTCATGTTTACCTTTCAGCGTCCGGTTTCGGTTTGGGGGACTCGCAAGTGATATTTCATTTATTTACCAGGTTAGTAATAATGTTAACTTAATTTTTGTTGTCTCTCACTCTTCCCAACCTAAACGTACCAAATGTAAATACGATCAGATCGGAGGATACGATAAAATATCAGAGACAAGCGAACAATCATAACATATCCTAACTCTGAAACCGATAATTTTTTTTTCTTTCAACACACACCTTCCTAGAACGTATTTAAACCGCTTTGCTACTTTTTGTTATTTTTTGAATTTGTTATGAATCATCTTCATCGCCATCATCATCATTACAGCCCTTTATAAGTCCACTGCCGACCATAAGCCTCTCCCAAGGAACGCCACGAAACACGGTCCTGAGCCACCTGCATCCATCGACTTCCTGCATGTCTTACCTTGAATTGGAGTGAATAAATAACCGTGCGGCGGTGAAAATAAAACCATCACCTCATTTCGTCCGGTGGATGTTGTAAGGGGCGACCATGGGAAATGCCAGGAAAATCATATAACTTCCGATAGAGTAATAAGAGGCTGTTTTTTTTTACATCAGACAAAGCCTGTAGATATACCTATAGCGACTATGAACACGAATGTATGCATTCACGTAAAAATATTAATTCAACAATAGTGAAGCCGAACGTCCACCGCATACTAAACTAACTTAGTTTATCCTTAGCTCGCATAGCTGAGCCAGTTTTTCATACATATGCGTTCACCGCAAACTATTCCAGCTAAGCTATGAATGTATGAAAAAAGATAAACTAAGTTAGTTTAGTTTGCAGTGGACGTTTGGCTTAAAGGTGTTCCGATTATGTAAATAATTAAATGGAAGTACAAGTAAAGAGATTAGATTCAACCCATAAAATTTTAATGTTATCATTATTGTCGTTACTTACATATTTCAGATCTAATCCCCAAATAAGCCAACCCTTGGTGCCTTCAGTACAATCGATTATGACATCATCCTTCTCAGTCTCCCGCCGGACAGTGGTCACAATTCATAGCCATGGAGAGACTGTTTCTGGAAACTTCAACGCTTTTGTAATTCCAGGTAGAGCTACGATTAAATTTACCATTTTTTTTTCAGAGCAATTTATTGAAATAAACCATTTTATTAAAACACAAGTATATTTTTGATATAAAGTAAAGTAAAATATACCGTCAACTAAGACTAAGGTTAAACAGATCCTACCACTGTACCGTAAAGAATATTTTCTTCCAATGCTCATAATGTATTATTTATAGAATGAAATTATTTGTATTATAATAAAGAAAAAATTTCAGCTCACCTAACGGCTGCGGACGTAAATGTTATTGCCGTGGACTGGAGTGCTGGAGCGTCAATGTACACTCAAGGACTCGGCAATGCTCCTCAAGTTGGCCGGATTATTGCTCAGTTTTTAAATATACTCATAAATAATTTCGGTTATAACGTAAATCAAGTGCGCATAGTTGGCGTCGGTCTGGGTGGACACGTGGCTGGAATTGCAGCAAGACATGTAAATGGAGAAATTCCTCACATTATAGGTATGATGTTTTTTTGTCATTAACGCAAATCATTATCCAGCATTGAGCTGATGCTTTAATAATGTGTTTCTACTAAGCTTTGCTTGTTTCTAAATTGTTTTGTTTTATGTTTTGAATATTTATACAACGTAACGATAAACCATCCTCTCCCGTATTATCTATGAGAAATTGTATACAGCGCAGTATATTTAAATACTGTATGTATCTGCAAAAATTGATCAACTCATATTTGTTCAGTATTTGTCAGTACCTGTTTTAAATAAAATGATAAACAAAATTCGATACGACATAGGGTCCTTTAAGAAAACATTATTCAGCAGTGTGCTGATAACAAGAACGATAGTGATGAAACTTTAAGAGGCAAGATTGCTACACTTCAAAATGCCTTCAAAAAAGATTTTATTTGTCGGGCATGTTGCTTCTTGATCTTTTTCGTCACCGCTATGCAGTTAGTAATTATGGCAGCGGTGGTGGCAAAGGGTGGTAATCGAATAGAAGATGCTGGCCTACTTAAAAAAAAATTAGGGGTTAACCCTAAATTCGAGCTACCACCGTTTTAGAATTAGGAAAATGACTATAATACTATTGACATTATTTTTTGTGTGTCATTAGAAAAAAAAAATGTATATATATTTATTGATTGCTGCAGCTTTGGATCCATCTCTTCCTGGCTGGACTCATCACCCTGAAATCTTGAATGCTGATGACGCAGGAGTTGTTGAAGTTTTGCACACTACCGCTGGTCGATATGGCTACGATTACCAATTAGGCGATGTTGATTTCTATGCAAACGGGGGGAGCCACCAGAATGGTTGCGCTACTGATGTTTCATGTTCCCACATTTATTCTTACGCTTACTATGCTGAATCTATCAAAAACGAAGTGGAGGATGGGAAACGATTCGTTGGAACCGCCTGTAATGATTACGAAAACGCTATTACACTGCAGTGTAATGGACCTAGAGATGCTGTCTTTGGTGGATTAGCGACGAAAGTTGGGTATGTATTGAATGCATGTAATAATTCAAATACTAAGTATCTGTTCTTTTTTTAATTTAATGGCTACATAATATACACCATTAACAACTTCTCTGTCCGCGATAAAAACACAATAGTTAAACAATTGAAATGTTCCTTAATAACTCACGGGACAGTGAAATGCCAATAATACTCAAATTGTTTGGAAAATCCAAAAGTGCACGCTTCATGAGCTTTTAATTTAATTTTGATAAAAAAAAAATTACGAAAATAAATCGATTACACATACAATCACGATTACAGATAAAATCGATATATGTAGGTTGTATGGTACACTTGTCTTTTGTCTATCGAGGGCTAAAAAAATTATGACAGCGCCTTTTAGTTCTTAATAGCAATAAAACTTATAAAATTTAAAAATCATTTTATTAACAAATAACGCGTACTATTGTTATGAAATATGGAACCAGATGATGTAATTCTGAAGCTAATAAAAAAACCGGTCTCGATACGTCAATTTTTTTGGGGAGTTATCGTGACCACAACAAAATCAACATCCGGACGTCCACGTAAAATTTTTTAACCGTGTTTTTTTCAAAGTAGCAATATAAAATAATTTTTTAGAAAATATTGGATTGATTAATGAGTGTTTTCTTGATACACGGCTGCTCATTTTATGGTATAAGTGCAGTATGTTTATGATAGACGCATTTTAAGAACATAAAATCGCTTGACCTCGACGCGTCGAGAGTAATGCACTGCCTTATAACATTTCGAGTTATGAGGCATGAAATAAAACTGTTTGTCCCTTACCAGTGTAAGCGTTAGACGCCAACGAGTCCAAACTCAGTAGAGAGGCATAAGAGGCTTATTGGTAATCTTAATTTGGTTGAAACCAATATTGTCAGTTCAAGTACAGGCGCTTCTGTAGGATGCATTTTGGAGATTGTGCGTAGGATGCTATAATTCCTCTCTTCCCTTCCCAACTTCGTACAACCATGCGGTCCGCAAGCCTTCACCCTTTTGTTGTCGATATCGCACGCGTTATAACCAAACAATTTGCTTCGCCTTTAGTAAAATGTACAGCGAAGGAGCGATTAAATTTGCAGGCGTGTGTGTCTTTTAGTTCACTTACAATCTTTGATTTAATATCAAGGGTTTCATCATCACTTACTACCAAGTTGGATGGCATTGGTTTATAAGTAAAATAATTAAAACATTTTGTCGAGAAATGCAGCGTATAATTAAAAAGGTTTATGATGAGAGAGCTGAACGTGCTGTAACTGTAAGGTGTATACATCTTAGAATTTAGAACGAACTCATAGTCCACCTGGTGTTTAGTAGCTACTCCAATTCATGTACACCTGCAGCCAGCTTCAAACAAAGAAGTCTGTAGATGCATGTTCTACTCGTACTTGTCCGGATTTTTATAACATAAATGTCTTATATTAAGTTTAAAAAATAAATTCATTAAGAATAAAAATAAAATGCAAATTTTGGAGTGCTTACCACTAACAGATTATTCCCATCCGTTACATAATCGCACTGCAGATCCGAAAACGAAACACAAACACACTAACCTAACCAACAACGTGCACTAACACAAATGTTAATTAGGTTAAGGTGGAAGCGCCAGGGAAGCCCGTGAAATATTTTTTTATAGGAATAGGGTGACAAACGAGCACACAGTCCACCTGATGGTAAGTGGTTGCTGCGGCCCATAGACATCTACATCTATCCTCTATTACAAACCAAAATGCAGATGCGTTGTCACCCGTGAGGACTAAGATAGAATGCTTCATTTCCAGTAAAAAGGGTTTCCGGTTCTCTACACTCACCATACGAAACACAACAGCAGTAAGCTGCTATTTTACGCTGGTATTCTGTGAGAGCGTGGTCCTTCCCCGGTCGAGCCGACCCATTCGCGCTACAACTATACTACTAATATAGCTGCAGCAGGGCTCTACCACGTATAGAAATTCAAATTTTCTTACGTTTTTTGCAATTTGCAGGTCAGTGTCGGATTGTATGTTTAACAAATTATGATTCGCGACCGTAACGAGTATTATAATCATTATAATCATCAATACAACCGTCTATGTTCATATAATTCCAATGTATGTCTATTTCCAGAAAATACTCATTCAAAGGGATTATATGAACTTAGAGGGTTGTATTGGTGATTTTAAGGATATTCTGCGAATCATATTTTATTGAACATTTTACTGACCTGCAAATTCCAAAAAACGCAAGAAAATTTGAATTTCGCGGGCCACCCTGGAGCTTTCACCTTAATGTGTGAGCGAGGTTTGGGTTGGGAGTCAGCGTAAGAGCCATGTTACTGTCTGTATTTCTTATACTTTGAATTAATTTCCGATTATCAGTGACTTTAATTTTATATTTATTTTTCCAGTGTTTCCGGTATCTACACATTCCTGACCAACTTCGCTCCTCCTTTTGCCAGAGATTAAGAATGAAAATAAACATATATAATCTATGTCAATCAACTTGTTGTTTTAATATTATAAAATTTTTTGAGTCAATACTTTTTTTATTATATGATTTTCAGAAACGGAAAATCAAAAGTGGTTAATAAATAGTTAAGTTATATTAATGAATAAAGATATAAAATTAATAGAAGAGTTATTAAGTTCACAAGATTTCTGTTACTGTTCCTAGTGGATTCTCCGAAGGTAGCTTATAGCTTCCTCATACGGCCAGAAGTGAAGAACCCTTTTTAAATCCCTTTGTCATCATTGTCAAAGAATATTATGAATAATTTTTCAGCAAATAAAAGGAGTACAATAATACGTCGCCGAGTACCGGGACAAAACTTGTGTCTGAAGTCGAACCTTTGCTGAACAAAGTCTCGGATTGGGGGCGACTATATCTAGTCCAGTTCAATCCCCAGAAGACACAAGTTTGCGCGTTTACCGCTAAAAAGAACCCCTTTGTCGTATCTACTCAGTTTCAAGGTACTCCCCTTGCTGCCTCAGCTAGCATTGGAATCCTCGGCGTCGACATATCGAATAGTGTGCAGTTTCGTGGTCACTTGGCTTGGCGTGGCGTGCTCAGCAGAGCGAGACAGTATTTCATACCGGCACATCGCTTGCAACTTTACAAAGCGCAAGTTCGGCCTCACATGGAATACTGTTCTCATCTCTGGGCCGGGGCACCCCAGTGCCAGCTCCTTCTACCTGACCGCATCCAGCGCAGAGCGGTTCGAATCGTCGATGACAGAGTTCTTTCTGATCGGCTCGATACACTGGCACTGCGTAGGGACGTTGCATCCCTTTGCATTTTCTATCAAATTTACCACGGGGAGTGCTCTGAGGAATTGTTCGGATTAATTCCAGCCGCCAAATTTCACGGACGCACATCGCGTCAAAATTCACGTTACTATCCTCACCATCTGGATGCTTGGCGGTCCACAACTGTATGTTTTACTCGGAGTTTTCTTCCTCGTACAACTTCTCTGTGGAATAGTTTACCACTGGCGATTTTTCCGGACCGATACGACTTAGGGACCACTCAAGAAAAGAGCTTACACCTTTCTAAAAGGCCGGCAACGCATCTGTAATTCCCCTGGTGTTGCGGTTGTTCATGGGGGGCGGTAGTCACTTACCATCAGGTGAGCCGCATGCTCATTTGCCCCCTCTTCTATAAAAAATAAAAACAACGACGATAGAATAAAAATGCAATTTTAAAATTAATTGAGATTTAATTATTCAAAATTTAGATAAAAGTTTTACGACGGTCATGCCAAAAGAAGTTAGGTACTCGCTACTACTTTGTATCGATCTCTTTAAAGTATTTACCTTGAGGTCGTACACACTTTTCCATACATCTAACGACTTGGTAAGTACCCCTGCCTTTGTAAATATCAGAAATCTCGAAATTATATGCATCCAGTGCAAGATGCTTTCAAACCCAAGTCTTTTAATTTTTCTTTGATCTTTTGCAACATGTAAAAATAATAGGTGCCAGGTCAGAGGAATATGGCGGGTGAGATACGATAGTAAATTTTTTTTAGTTGTAAGATCTCTAGGAACTGTTTTAGAAATAATTTCTTAAATTAATAGGTGAATAAAATTTTAATGAATGACTTGCTTTCATTCACACTTCAATCACACTTCTAATTTATGTATTATTAAATTATCATTTCATCCAATGCCAACCCTTATTGAAGACTTCGAACCTCATGTTTGTATTTTCGTGGCCGCGTAGTAAATTTTAATAATCTACGTGAAACAGTCTTCAAGAGCAGTCTGGAAGATTGACACCAAGGTGAATTTCATAAGTGTTCCGTTTTTGATAACCCTGACAGGGATTTTTTTTAAATAAAGGGAATCATTAATTCAAATTATTGTTGATTTGTGTTCTAATCGATTATTGACTAAGTTGCGAAATTAAGTTTTTGTTATTCAAAAGATATATACGTAATAGTACCACGCTGCAACTATATTATTGTTGTAGCACGAATGGGTTTGCTTGACCGGGGTAGGATCAAGCGCTCACGTAAACTTATCCTTGATACACATGTAGAAAGCGTTATTAATAAGGCTCTTAAAATGTATGGTTCGTGAATTTAAAAAACCTCTCACTTATTTGCACCTCTATAAATCTTTAATAAGATCAGAACTCGATAAGTAGTAGCTATTTGGTGTCTGTATTATAATAAATGATTGCTTTGTGGCATTCCTTGGGGGAGGCCTATGTTCAGCAGTGGATTTGTGAAGGGCTGTAATGATGATGATAATGATTATAATAAATATATAGATAAAATCGAATCTATTCATAAATGGTTTACGTAGTGTAAATTACAAGTGCAGACGAGTTAAATTACCCTACTGTCAACTGCTGTCGAATATAACTTACTAAAATTAAAATTGAGACGTCAACAGATTCAAGCTATGTTACTGTATGAAATCTGCCATAGCAGGTACGATAGTATAGGACTAGTTAATATGATACAATATAGAGTACAATGTATGCCATTGTGTCGCAGAGTTCATGCCAAACATACATTTTTTTACTAATAAGGCCGGCCATATACATACGGAATTCCGTTTCGTGATTCCGTTTCGGAATCCCGAATCGGGATTCCGTGAATACATCACACACACACGTTTTTTTTCCGTTCGGAATAACAAGGGTCAGTTGAGAGACGTTAGCCATTGAGTCTAGACATTCTGCCAGCGAATAATGACGACGATTTTCTAATTGCAAATTACATTGTTGCTGTATCATTCTTACTAGGTGCATCCCCTTATCACCCTAAGCTTGCAATATAGTCAATACTATGTAAAAAGATCTATCTATCCAGAGATATTTTTTAAATATTTATGTATGTAAATTCTATCGAGGAATTATTAAATAAAATAAGATGAAACGTTACGAAAAGCTATACACCTACAAGATTAAATTTAAAAACATACATAAATACACCTACTCGCTTCGGTCGTGCGACGAACACTGAGCGCATTCCGTACGGAATTTACGTATGTGTGTTGCGACTCGTACAAAATCTATGGAAGACGTGCGTTCGGAGCGGCTTTTTTCCATTCGGGATCCCGAACGCACAGACGATCATACGGAATCTCGAATCGGAGAAATTCCGTACGGAAAAATAACGTACGTGTGTGGCGGGTCATAGATTTTATATGGACTTGCTGCGTTCGGAATCCCGAATCGGAATATCGAAACGGAATCTCGAAACGGAATTCCGTATGTATGTGGCCGGCCTAAATGTCGAACCAACGGAGGTAAAAGATCCCCTTTAGGCCGGCCACATACATACGGAATTCCGTTTCGAGATTCCGTTTCGATATTCCGATTCGGAATCCCGAACGCAGCAAGTCCATATAAAATCTATGACCCGCCACACACGTACGGTAGTTTTCCGTTCGATATTTTGCGGGCAAAACGGGATTCCGTTTGTGTGTGGCCGACCGTTCGAAATTCCGAAACGGAATCTCGAAACGGAATTCCGTATGTATAGAGCGGGCCTTAGGTTGGTAAATTGTTATAATAATACTTTCAATAACATTGATATTTTTACTCATAAGGTAGGTATTTATAAAAAGGAATTACTTTCAGTACTCAGTGGAGAATGAGTTTGTGTAATTGATTATTGGAATAATAATTATTTTTTATCATTGTATTATTTGAAGATTCAAACGTTGTATTAGATGAAAAAAATTGTACGCTAATCTCAATCTCAACTTTTATTAATAGTAATTGGTGGTCAACGTTGTTGGTTGCACTATTATATTATATATTTTGTAGTAAATGTATTCTAGATTAAGAAATATTGTGTAAGCTGTTTGTTGATCCTAATAAAAAAATAAAATAAAAAATGTATTGTGGAGTTGGCCGCTTGACAAACGCGTTTTATATCTTCCTTCTTACTGTTTTAAATAGATTTCCTAGGGTTTTCAGGACGAATAAAAAACGCTCGTTATTTTGTTAGGGAGGCAGGGCAGAGCAGAGTTCCCATTTTACTTTGTTCTTCCTTTTTCTGGTTTCAATTCTCAGCCAATGGGTGCGATATTTATAAGTTATCTAGTGACTTTCTAGAAACTTCTTTGCCTCACCCCCTCTGGCCATTATCATTATCTTGTGTGTGGGTATACAATATAAAATGGTGATAAGTATACATATACTTATATGTATGTATGTATGTAAATAAAATTTTGTCGCACGATATCTTTAGAACTAATCAACCGGTCGACATTGGCGACACGGCGTTCGAAAGTGTTCATTGTGACTTCGAGCTGATTAGATTTTCAATCGGTTGAGCCATTTCAAAGATTCCAAGAAATAACCAAAAAAAAATTAAATAGATTTTCGAGCATTGCGCATGAAAATAAGCGGGAAGTTCCGGGGATGGCCTGCAGGGTCAAACGTTCGAATCCTAGACCGTATATCTACTCGCCGCGCGCGTGCACAATTCCGCATCCCCGAACAAGTTAAACATTGCAAAATTCACATATCCACGTAAGGAAGTAACACGCACTCAATCTAACTATCTGGACCCGACAACGGTCGCGTGAACCTCGGCCGCAATAAACCAGCTACGCGGGTTCCTCGCTTCGCGGCCAGTGGGCCACTTTTCATCATCGTCCACGCGTCGAGCCACTGCAAGCCGCACACGGCCGCCCCACCTCGGCGCTTATCTCACCTACATACTATCGGGTGACGCGCCAGCTCGACGCAATTGGGTGGCGTTCAAACATAACCAAATTTGGGCTTAAAGAACCTCTTTCGCTTCTTTCAGATTCATTATCTTCTTCATACATACACGTCTAGGTATCAGAGTACTCTTGACCCTCCCCTCTTCGAGCAATTTGCTCACATGGTCTTCGAAAGTTAGTCTCGGTCTACCTCGACACCTTTTAATATTTACTTTCGCACTATATATTTTCTTCACCATTCGTTCTTCACTCATTCGCTCAACGTGCCCAAACCA